GAATGTGTTGAGCTTCTGTCTGTTACTCCACTTGTCAGGCATGATCAGAGCTGAATCCCATTCCTGCATAGGGTCAGAAAGACTAACCAGCTCTTTTTTACATTCTCTATATATGGTCACGAGAATAACCGAAAATAAGGGAATGCAAGTAAATTTTCAGGCCAATCCAGATTGTTGTATGTCTGCGCATGCCTGGGCACATGTGCACGTGTGCTCCTGAAGATGTAAAAGAACTGGTTAGTTGAGATATCTACAGTTGAGCTTGTTCAAAATATTCGCTTGATCGCTCATTCCCATATGATATGACTAGGAAATTTAATGAAAATTGGTTCAGGGAGCATTCGTGTTGATGTCATTTGCAACCTTGCAGAAAATTGTGTACATTCTGACGGCTGTACGGATGGCATCGAATGGAGCTTTTTGAAATCCGACTTCTTGACCGAGTCAGGTGATCGGTGAAAAAGAATACTATAATCTCTTTTATCTATCCAAAGTCAAGGTCAAGGTGTGTGCAAGCAGATAATCTTTTCCTTTTACTGCCTAAAAGTAAATTTGGTCGAGAAAGAAAGAAATTTATTAATATCCAGTTTGGTGGCCAGAGAGTTAGTATATTTGCGGAAAGTTGACCACTTTGATCGGTTTGAAGCTATATGCATCAATAGTTGGATGGACAAAAAAAATTACAAATTATGAATAAACGAAGAGGTAGCTAGGCCGTAAGGCTTGTCGTATGCACTGTTGTCATGCTCTTTTAGCCTCACAACTTTTCACGGTTATGTTTTGTGGTATTTTCTCTTTTTTTGGTATTTTCCGCTCAGGACGGGCGATTGGAAATGGGTGACAAAATCCTCGAAGTGAACCAAGTGTCCCTGGTGCATGTGGCAAGTCCACTTCCGTTGCTTCGGTCTCTTCTCAAGCGTACCATGTCGACGTCAGGAGGCACAGCTGCCAGTGCAGGGGAGGAGAGGGGCCCTCAGCAACCGGGAGCTTCAGGTGTTCCTTGTGTCCACCTCCTGGTGGCCCGCAGGAAGCGAGGACACCGTCGATCCGCCTCAGGTCATACGGTGAGGGCTTCTTTCCCATTCCTTTCGATGTGATCTCCTCTTTGTATGTATCAAGAATAGCTGGGTTCCGGAGAATCCCTCTACGAGTTAGTGTGACTCCACTTTTCGTTCCGCAGAGAAAGTGGATTTGAAGGAATTTGTCAATTGGTCTCACCAAAAACGGAGGGAGGATTGCTGCGGAAAGGAGTGAAGACTGTCGGATCATACAAACAAGTCTACGACTCATCGACCTGTCATTTCGAAGAAGCCGTGTTGAGCTTTTTTTCTGTACCGCCGTGATAGACATCATAAGAATGAGAAGGAATAGTTTACTAAAAAACGTACCAAATATGGGTGGCTCGATGCAATCACAACCACTTCTTATACCAAACTTTGTGATCCTAATGTGGCATCTGATGATATGGTTGGCTATTTCATGCCTGACATGCGGTTGAAGATTAATTGTAGTTAGTAGGCTGTCTTTGCTAATAGAAGTGAGTTGACCTTGTTGTCGCAACTTGGTCTTATTGTCAAGGCGACTAGGCAGAACGCACCTAGTCCGAATTCGTCTGCCATAATAGTTGTCATGACTCCCAGCATCCGACAGTGGACTTGATACATTCTCAAACGTTTCGCCGGCATCGTTTTCGGCATCACAGTGAGTTTTGCCATTCTCCGTACCAAGCCATGAACTCGTCAAAGAGACAAATGAAGTCAATGCCTCAACAACCGTTCTGCTGAAAACGGTTACACCATCACTCATCCTTCTGTCATTGTCTATCTATCTACTCTTTACTCTCTTATCCCACTGCCGCCCTATAACAACTTCTCACTTGTTTACATTCCACTCGTCAAAATGTGTGCCCTTATGTGGCAAACCGAGTGTGGCCTCATCACACTTGCTATCTACCCCAACCCCTCTCTTTCGATTGGCCGGGGGATTGACTTGACTTGTCTCTTTGACGAGTTCGTAGCTTGGTTCGGAAATGGCAAAACTCACTGATTATGCCGACTACGATGCC